CCCCCCAGGCCGGAAGCCCTCGTTCACCATCCAGTGCCTGCGGCGCCAGGGCAGCTGCGAGGACGAGCCCATCCCGGGCACCTACAACCCCTCGGGCCCCCCCGGCCCCGCCCGCCCGCAGGTACCGCCGGGGAGGACACACGGGAGGGGGGGGACGGGACGGGACACACGGAGGGGACGGGACGGGACACACAGAGGGGGGTGGGGGGTGTCACACAGTGTCACCCCCCCCCCGCTGCCCCCCCCCTTTGCCCCCCCCAGGGCTACGGCAGCTCCGAGACCTGGCGCCTGGGGGGCTCCTCTCAGGCCTGGGCGGCCCCGGCCCGCGGGCACGTGCTGTACGCGCCCCTCATCCTGGTGGAGGGGGCGGCGGGGGGGGGGCGCGGGGGGCAGCCTCCCCCCCCTCAACCGCTGGTTCCCCCCCGCGCCCCTGCGACTGCGGCCCTGCGACCCCCGCGACGCGCTGGCCAGGGGGTCTGCGGACAGCCTGGTGGAGGCTGTGAGTGACACCGGGGGACAGGGGGACATGGGGGACAGGGGGGGACATGGGACACCCCGAGGGTCTGTGGTCAGCCTGGTGGAGGCCGTGAGTGATGCGGGGGACAGGGGGATATGGGGGGACATGGGGGAGAGGGGGACATGGGACACCCCGGGGGTCTGCGGTCAGCCTGGTGGAGGCTGTGAGTGACACGGGGGGACAGGGGGGAGAGGGGGGACAGGGGGACATGGGACACCCTGGGGGTCTGCGGACAGCCTGGTGGGAGCTGTGAGTGACACACAGGGACAGGGGGGGACAGGGGGGAGAGGGTGACATGGGGGGACATGGGATATGGGACAGGGACACCCCGGGACACCCTGTGGACAGCCTGGTGGAGGCCGTGAGTGACACGGGGGGGACAGGGGGGAGAGGGGGACATGGGGGGACATGGGATATGGGACAGGGACACCCCGGGGGTCTGCGGACAGCCTGGTGGGGGCCGTGAGTGACACGAGGGGACAGGGGGGAGAGGGGGGACATGGGGCACAGGACACCCCGGGGGTCTGCGGACAGCCTGGTGGAGGCCGTGAGTGACAAGGGGGGGACAGGGGGTACAAGGGGGACATGGGGGATAGGGGGGACATGGGATATGGGACATGGGACACCCCGGGGATCTGTGGACAGCCTGGTGGAGGCCGTGGTTGACACGGGGGGACAGGGGGGATACTGGGAACATAGGGGGACACAAGTGGGGACGTGGCTTGGTTTGGGGTGGGACATGGGGGGACACGGGACAGGGACCCTGCTGCAGCTCGGCTGACAGCCCGGTGACAGCTGTGAGTGAGGGACACACATAAAGGGGACACCCCACGGCCCAGCCGACAGCGGCGGAGGATTCGAGCGAGGGGGGACACGGGGGGACACGCGGGGGGACACGGGGGGACACGCGGGAACCGCCCCGCGCCGGTGCCAGCGCCGCCCCCTCCGCCCCCCGCCCAGGTGCTGATCTCGGAGGGGCTCGGGCTGTTCGCCCGCGACCCCAAGTTCGTGGCGGTGGCCAAGCGGGAGATCGCGGACGCGTGTGACATGACCATGGACGAGATGGAGAGCGCGGCCGCCGACCTGCTCACCCGCCGCCGGGCCCCGCCCGCGCCCGCCCCGGCCGTGTACAGCGACGAGGAGCCGCTGCGGCCGCCGCCCGAGGAGGAGCTGGCGGACGAGATGGGCTGGGCAGGGGGGGTCTAACCGGGCACCGGCACCGCGGGCAGCGGGACTGGCCGGAGGGGTCCGAGACCGGCACCGGGACCGAGACTGGGACCAACCGGGCGGGCTTTAGGACCCGGCCCCGGCCTCAGTCCCAGGACCGACACTGGACGCACCGGGCGAGCTTTAGGACCTGGCCCCAGTCCCAGCCTCGGGCGGGCTTTAGGACCCGGCCCCGGCCTCGGCCTCAGTCCCAGGACCGAGACTGGGACCCACCGGGTGGGCTTTAGGGTCCGGCCCCGGCCTCAGTCCCAATCTTAGACGGGCTTTAGGACCCGGCCCCGGCCTCAGTCCCAGTCTCGGGCGGGCTTTAGGACCCAGCCCCGGCCTCAGTCCCAGGACCGAGACTGGGACCCACCGGGCGGGCTT